GATATGCCCATTCAAAGTTTGCAATTTCAATCGGCTGCTATAGCGCCCCCCTTTGGCCAATTGATGTAATATTGCTTCATTCGCATCCTCCCATGATCCTCTATCACTGTGCCAAATTTCACATGGATTGACCAAGTCAGTGAGGAGAAAAAAACGTGGAACAGACACACAGACAGACACGCCCACAGACAGAGTTTTCGTCATTATACAGTAAGATTATCCTCTTCATCTGAAAGGGCCTAAAAACAATCATTCCCTGGCATTAATTACAGTTAATGAAAGACAGCAGGTGACTGAAAGGCACCACTCTGCAAAGAGCTCCCAGAGGTCAACATTATCCTCTGGGTGCAGCACTTCCAGGAAACTGATCAAACAACAGCACGAAAAGAAAGAAATCTATTTTTATTGTGTCTGTGAGCTCATTCATTTGCTATGGTTGAAGAAGAGGCCCGCAGAAAGGCTTCATTGCCCTATTCTGATGAAAACATACAACACTGATCCAGCAGTGAGTCACCTGGTGAGACACCTGCAAAGGACTGAGAGCAGAGGAGTATTCCAGGTACCTGTGACAGGGAAAATAATACAGGCAGCCACAGATGGATTCCAGCTAACAGGATCCAGTACACAGAGGCGACACTGACAATCTGGCAGGGAATGTAGACATAGTTAATAATTATGTACTGCAGGGCTGATGAGGGAAAGTGGAAACAAGTAGGCAGGTGAGGTCTGCTGTGAAATGTTCTAAAGTCTGGGATAAAGACACTAAATGTCATTTCAGAGTGATAATTTTCAGGCTCAACAGTTTGCACTTCAAGACCACATATGTCAGACTTTTTTTTTTTTGAATAATACCACAGATCAAATTTCATAGATAACGTTTTTGCCAACGATCAAAAAACTGATTTGGAATTTTGTCCTGTCAATCTTACACTCCATTTTGCTCTCACTTGTGGACAAGACCTTGATACACTTGAACTTCTTTGGTTGGGGCTGCAACTCACTCCCAACCCATAGGGAGCATCAAAGAATATGTACAACAAAGAAACTTTGCTAGGGGATACCAGAATGGCACTCAAAGACATGCACATTTTACAAAAGGCACAAACACATGAATGCATGTTTGTGTATGAACACAGACATTGTTTGCATAGACATAGACGGATGAAGAGGGTGGACAGTGTGGTATCCCTGATGAATACAACTGGTTTGAACTCATAAAGGAGTATTTGTCTAGCTGTTGGCATTATTTCAACACCGGTAACCAACACTGCAGGTCTAAACAAATAAGCAAGAAAACTTCCTTTTAAATAGGCAAATCTTTCAGCTGCCAGGTAGGAGACAGTGTGTTCCAATCATAAGGTATGTGGATGTTTTGTTTTTGGACATGCTGCCAAACTGGAAAAAACAGAAATACGAGACGCTCATGGGCCAAGAAAAAGATCCTACCTAACAGGCCAATGCCCTTATTTATGCATATAATGCATATGCATTTCCATTTCCATTCTGCATTGGAAAATACTGATGATTTCAGGTTTAGCCACAAAGGCTTGTGGTCACGGGTTGTAAGCTAAATGTACTGCAACAGAAGAGTGATTTGCATTTTGTCAGAAAATATATGCATGTTAATACCAGGGATAAAAACAAACACTGATTCAATCCAGACAGGCAGGAATAGGAGGAGCAAGAGGAGGTGGAGGGAGGAGTTGGGTAAAATAAAGCATGAAACTGCAGAAAGGCTAAATATTGAAAGTCTCGAGAGATAGAGTGTGAGAACAAAAGGTGAAGGGGCTAACATTTAGCAGGAGGGGACAGTTATGAGGGGACAGCATTTGAAGTCACACTTCTCTTTAATGTTCACTTTTATTTGTTTGGGGACCCTGCTGACTACTCTCCTCTGGTCCATGGTCAACAACAGGTAAGTGTAAAGCTACCTTTCCCAACCACCTAAAACAGATTTTTGTATTTTTGGTGCTGGAGGTGTGTTAATGGGAGTAAAAAGATAGACAGAGGCATGATAAAGAGGCATGCTGGGGTTTGACAAGGCTACAAGACTAGAGTGGGAGAATATATTGTTATAGAAGCTAATGATATTGGGGGAAAATAGAAGCATTTTGCAGTTTTTCCACTCATGTCACACAGCCGTGAAAGGTGTAGTTCATGTGAGAAATAGAGGCTGATTTAACCCTTTTAACCCAGGTGTAAGTGAATATGTCTCATAAGGCACCATGTGTATATGTACGTCAATACAATGAGTTATCTCACTATACCAAGCAATCTAAGAGTAAAGATACTAGCATGGAAACTTAAAAAAATATTTTGGAAAGCATAACTTCTTCAGTGCAAAATAATTGACAGGCTAGTTGTTTTAGAATAGTGTAAAAAAGTTATTGCCTTTAGAAGTGTCTGTGAGAAAAATCAAAATATTTTTAAACAGAAATGGCAGAAACCCTCACACTGAAACCTTAAGAGTCATTGAACGTGACGTGTGAGAGGCAATCACACGAATACCCACCTGAAATGAAAGGATGTTTAGCTGACACACTGACATTTACAGTAATAACAATATACCATAGGTTGTGGGTTTAGAGTTCTAAAACTGGGACTTAATCTTTTTGAAACACAGTAACTGCAAGAGAAGAGGATACATAACTGCACAAGCACACGTACCACAGACCAACAAATGATGAACTAACTATTAGTTAATGGTCAGTTCCTCAGTAACTCATGATCAAATTTCAGAGGAGTAGTTACTGAGGAACTAATGAGGAACTAACTATTGGTTAATGGTCAGTTCTTCATTAACTCATGATCAAATTTCATAGAGGGGTTAATCACGACTTAATAATTAGTGAACTAGTTACTTCATCAGTGCAGAATCATTACTCAATAACCCGTCCATTAGTTAACCTTTTTATGTCCTAAAGTAAAGTGACACATAATGAGTAGTCTTTCATTACATTATCATCATCTTTACAATTAGTTCCTTAACAAAAATAATCAGACAGCAGGATTCTTGAGAAGAGTTTTATTCATTATTTTCAGACCATCTTATCTTAGCCATCTGAGAAGATCAAATACATTGTTTTTGGTGACTGTTTCCCAAGTATATTAGTGTGTGTGTGTGAATGAATAAACGAGAGGCATTAACGTAAATTTCTTTGTAGAAAGGCGCACATCCAATATGGCGGCCACTCGATGCGGCGTCTACGTATATATGTCTATGGTATCACTCTGGGTACGTCCCAAGTCTCTTATTTTATACTGCTAACTCCTAACTCCTTACTTGAACCGGAAGTCTTTCGAGCTCCGCCATCTTTAAGGCCGTCTCATGTCTCTTATTCCTGCCAGTAAGGAGTTAGCGTTAGGCGTTAGGAGGGATCTGTTACGTGCGATGAGTAAGGTAACACGAGAGGTTCCTAACAGGAAGTCTTTTTCAGCTTGAAGCCATGACGTATAAATACCCGCCCCCTTCCTCTGTCTCATTTGAACGAGATGGAGGAGAAATAGTGCAAGTGTACCCGTTACATGCATTCTTTGCAATGAAACGCTGTAATTCACATGCCTACGTGACTACAAAGAGTAACGTTAATGATATTTCGTGCAAGACTGTCATGTTGTAATTAAGTTTATTTCATTCACAACCCGTTGCGGTGTTCAGCGGACTGTCTGTGATGCGTGGCTGCTAAATGTGCAGCTGCTCGAGTGATATAACACCACGCACACACACATACACAAACACAAACACATACACAAACACATTTGCCCATCATTAATTGTCCTGCATGTCATGTGAGTGGAAAAATGTTTAATAGGCTGTAGGTAATATTAATTATTAATATTAATATTATTATTATTATTATTACTTTCATTAATGTTGTTGTAAGCTACTGTCATTACCGTCTGTCCTGCATCTCTCTCTGTCTGTCTCTCTCTGTCTGTCTCTCTGTCTCTCTCTCTGTCTCTCTTTCTGTCTCATACGGATTACTGTTAATTTATTATGTTGATCTGTTCTGTACGACATCTATTGCACGTCTGTCTGTCCTGGACGAGGGATCCCTCCTCGTGCTCTTCCTGAGGTTTCTACCGTTTTTTCCCCCGTTAAAGGGGTTTTTTGCGGAGTTTTTCCTTATCCGCTGTGAGGGTCCTAAGGACAGAGGGATGTTGTATGCTGTAAAGCCCTGTGAGGCAAATTGTGATTTGTGATATTGGGCTTTATAAATAAAATTGAATTGATTGAGGTAGACTGACAGGTCTGATGTCTTGATGTCAGACCGTTCTTTAATTGCCACAAACTTCGGCAAATGACTCAATACCAATGGTAATACATGCAAAACTGTGTGACCAAAGTCACGGCTTTGATCAGCGAATATAATGTGACTTGGGATGTACGCCAAACGCTGGCTCCTTTATGCAGCAGATCCAGCTGTGCCGCCCATAGGTGCCGCCTTCACCAGAATAGGAGTAAGGCCGTCTCATGTCTCTTATCAGCAATCCTCGCTCCTCACTCCTAACTCCTGACTCCTTAAATGTTTTCCTAAGTGGGAGGGACTAAACAGTTAGGTAAGGTGGATAGGTTAGGTGGTTAGCAGTAATTTTAAGGGACTTGGGACATACCCACGGTCCAAGGCTAGAGCCTTTTACTACCAATGTGCAATACACCTCCCAACCGCTATAGTGGCGCTGTGGCGCAGTGGAAAGCCGGTGCACTCATTCATTGCAGGACGAAGAAGGGATGAAGAAAATTTCAAGATATCCCGAGATAAAATGCATGTTTATTGAACAATAACGGACATACAAACACACGGCAACCCCCGTACACCTTCCTAACATCTGTGCCTATGAGGTGAGTACATTACATGTTTGATTTGAACGTTTATGGAGACGTGAATCGGTCTAGACCGGGAACCCCCAAATGAAAAACGGGGTTCGTTTTCAAGACGTTCATGTTCATGCAATGAACGTCTTGGTCCAAGGCTACTCCAGCTCCAGCTCCAGCTCCAACAGTCACCTGAACATTTCGGTGGCCCTCAAGACTCCAGAGAGCCCCAGCTTTATTATGGGTTAAAGCCTGAAGGGCAGAAATATCAACATCTAGCCCTAAACTAACTTGAACACGGTGTAGACTCTGACGGGTAAAACCCATGGCCTGCTAGTAATTATCAAACTTACTGAAGCCTGGAGGCTAACCAGCAGTGCAGCAGCACAACAGCGAGGTTCCCCCTCACATCCTTTCCTAACTGTGTTTGAAAAGGTAAAAAAAATTTTCTTTTTCCCATGAAACAAAAAAGGTTAAGCTGGCCATATCAGTGGCATTAGAAATGTTTTGTTTGACCATGGCACCTGAAGAAAATGTGATATTTTAAGGTCATTAACTTTGACACATAAGGTCAATATGGAATATTTCCATCTGTCTCTGGGCAAAGTAACAAAAAAAGTGTATACTGAAAATATTCTGTAACCCTTTTTCTTTCTTAATTTGCCAGGGTGAAGGTGGACTGTCTGGCTCAGGTGAATGGACACAGCAGCTATCCAAGTACAGCAAGTGAAAACTGCAGAAAGAGACAGAGAACTACAGAGAAGGATGGGTCAGGAGAAAATGGAGTTAACGTGGAATGGAAGAACAAAAAGAGGGAAACAAGGAGTAAGGAGAGCCTGGAGAGGGATACCAAGCAGGCTTCAGGCAAAACGAGGAATAAGAAGACAGAGGAAAAGAAGAAAAGAAAGATGGCCCAGGCAAATGGCCCTACTGTCACACCCAAACCAGCTGCCTCTACCAAAAGCCCCCCAGCTAGAGTCGTCCAGTCAGTTAAAAGCTCTAACAAGGCCCCAGTAGCCCAAGCAAAGGCACAGAATGTCTCCTCTTCAGATTCCACCAGCAGCAGTAGCGACGAGGATGAAGCTCCCAAAAATACAGCTGCCCAAAAACCAGAACTGAAAATGCTCTCCTCCACCCATGCTGCTTCCAAGGCACCTCCAACCACCAAACCTGTCCAGCCAAAGTCCCACCCTCCTTCATCATCTTCTTCAGAAACCTCCTCCTCCTCTGATGAGTCCACCACTGTAAAAAAAACACCAAAAAACAAGTGTTTAACCTCCACAACCCCCAAAGGAAGAATAAGTGATATCTCCAAGTCTCAACAGATTATTCCTGTCCTGCAGTCCACAGACCGTGCACAGAATCAGACTGGGAGCACAGTGGTGCCCCTTCATGATAAATTCATGGTGCCTTGTAATCCAGACAGTGAGGAGGAGATTGAGCTCGTAATCCGACAGCCAATGCAGCAGCCAGGCCACGGTGTGGGTAGTCAGGGATCTCGGAAAGACCGTAACCCCAGGCAAACCAGGCGTGGTGGTCCTGAAGAGAAGGGAAGGGGTGGAAGTAGAGGGGTAATCAGCTATAATAGAGCCAAGGAGCCATCCTGCCTGACTGATTCACTGAGCAATGTGTCAGTGGTCCTCCAGGTCTGTCTGCAGGTGTCTGTACATATGTCTATGATTTTGAATGTAGTTACTGTGAGATACTAGAATTTGGATTTTAGCACCTGCTTAGTTCAGCATTTGAGGTTTCTGATTTCTGACACCAACTGTATCTTTAAGATCAAGATACTTTGTGTCTCTTGTAAGAAAAAAAAAATCCCTTAGGTCCAGCCCCTTAGTTATTGTTGCTACGCTTATTAAACGTTATACACTTGCATTGTAAAAATGCAGTTAAAGTAACTCTTACCTTTCTTGCATTTCACATAGCACTTAGAAAAAATTTGAACATCCACAACTCCCGCCTCCCTCCAAAGTCCCATCCCCCTCCTCCTGCAACTCCACCTCCCTCCAAAGGCCTACTTCCCCCTCCTCCATTATGTCTTTATTACGTCTATGATAGACGTAGGCGTTGGCAAGGTAACATTAGATACACGGAAGAGGAGAGCGAGTGTAACACGCCAAGAGAAGAGAAGAGAAGAGGAGTAAAACATGCTGCTGATTGCTAACGTTAGCCATTAGCAACTGGATGCTGTGTTGTCATATAATGTTATATGTTATATTAGAAGGAAACTAAACATAACGTTACCCGTCCTGCACAGTCAAACTTATCCGGGGTCAGTGATGAGTTTTATAATATAATGTAAACTCTTGCGTTAGATAGTACTGATGACTGGCAACAAGCAAGGAACATAATACAGAGGCTCAGGCTACGTTAGGCTACAGTAGGCTAACCGTTAGCAACTGGATGCTGTGTTATCATATATAACGTTATAGCCTATGTTACATTCGAGGCAAACTGAAAATACCTGTCCAGCAGAAACTCTGCGACCATCTCGTCCCTTTTTAGCTCAGGATGAAGCTGCATCAGTGTTCATCATCGCTCAAAAGCAGAGCCGATGTTGACCTGAGCAGCATCAAGTTCTCTCTGAGGCCTCATTTACATCGCAAGCGATGCGTTCTTGTAGCACTTGTGAACTGTCTCTGTTTACTCGCATTTTCATTTCGGCGAGCATGTCAACAGGTTAGAGCATTCACACCGCATCTGTTCTACGCACTGCTCGAGTTGCGCTGCTTTTGCGAACAAGCTTGAAAATAGAAGAGAGACTGATTTTTTGCGCGAGTTGTGAGCAAATGGTCGCGGTATTCAACAAAAAACATGAGTTTGCGTGTGTTGTGACCTCTCTCGGCCACCGTAGACATCTCCCCCTTGACCAAGCGAGACCTGACAGGAATAAGTTTCATGTACTTACCCATTTGTAGTGCTAAATATTAATTCTCCAAGCGTTGGAATAATCACTGGCATGCGAACCTGTCCACCCTGGGCTTTGGGTCCAAACTCACTTCTTTGGGGTATATTGGAGATTTGCAAACAGGGTGCACTACCGCTACCAACTGTTCGGGTGTGGTTTGCATTTTGACGGGACAGCAGCAGCCACTGCACGATGCGTCTGTTCGGTTGTGGTATGAATTAACGTGTGCTGCCGCCATTTGTAGACCGCTTCGCGAGCACTACGCAAACACATCGCTTGCAGTGTAAATGAGGCCTTAGTGTTAAATTTTTCTGCAATATTCTTTCTTTTGCCAACTGATCTCCCTGTTGGAGCGGCTGGAGGCGGAAGTGGTGATCCACATTTGTCTGCCATTATTAGAAAAGTTTATATCCACAAGCGTCCCTGTTATGCGAGTGGTTATGTCAGTTGGAGGCCTCCATGTGGGGATGACAGACAGGACACTCAGCCAATGATTGGTCAGAATTTTCTTAGAACCATATGAGAATGGTAGAATTATGAGTTTGTATCTCTAGTGGAATTGACTTACATTTTAGTGTGCCATCAGCTTATTAATAGCATTTTAACGTAAACAAAGAAAAGCGTAAAATTTCCAGAAAGGTAAGTGTCGCTTTAATAGACCAAATTATCGTGACATGGTAACAATCACTTCCAGGTATAAAACTGGCAGTTGATTATATTTCTGGCGATTTGTTGTCATTTTCAGCCACAACTGTAACGTTAAAAGGTATATAGTTAAAACATGGCAGTCTGACCTGTGTTTTTGCTGTGCTTGTTTAATGTACTCTGTTGCTTTGTTATCATGTTTGACAAACCAAATCTACTGGCATGGAAGCTAAACAATGTACTGCTGTGGACGGGGCCGCACAAAAAGATCAATATCTGTGTAAGTGTAGGCTATATTTGAATATTTACTCTGCTTTACCTCACACGCTAACCAATGGAGGCTGCGGTACACCAACATTTAAAGTGTTCTGCAATATATAATGACCGTTTTTGTCAGTGGAGTCTGGTGACTCAGAGATAACGGCTTTAATTACCTGTCAGAAAAAACTTTGTGACGGCAGGATAAAGTGGTGGAAATATTCTAAGTATATTACACTTAAACTGATCTTGATTTTCTTAGGACAGCCTTTTTTAGGTGGCTAAAAACTTACTAACTGAGGCAACGTCTGCTCAGGGCAGTTTGATTTTATGAACATGATGCAAGGATTTTCTACCCAGAAGTTATATAAATAAACATTGTGATTTGGTCGAAAATGTTAATGGTGATGGATTTATCACTGAAAGTTGTAGTTTGCTAGTTGGCTGCAAATGCTAATGTTAGCAGCTCACAAACATATTGTACAAACAGTATAGCTCTTACTACACCCTCAGGCCCACTGCCTCTATGTGTGGAGAAAATACCATACCATACCAATTTATTTATATAGCACATTTAAAACAACAGAGCTGAGACCAAAGTGCTTTTTAAGTAAAAGAAAAAACAGGTAACAATGCACAATCACAACTCTTAAATAAGAAACTTACACAGCGTCACATGAAGAACACCAATCACTCAGGCTGTGCTTGAAAAAGCCAAAGAATAAAAATGTGTCTTGAGGCGTGATTTAAACACCTGCAGAGTGGGGGCTTGCCTAACATGCAGAGGCAGCTCGTTCCAAAGTTTTGGAGCTGCCACTGCGAAAGCCCAATTTCCCCTGAGCTTCAGCCTGGATAAAATAACGCTTATAGCCAGATTCATGGTCGGGTGCTCAACATTTTTGAAAAGTGTTGTTCGACAGAAATTAAAGAGCTGCAGGACATTTTCAGTTTATGCTAGAGTAAAAGTTTATTCGTCTCCATGGTAACCAAGACCCCCTGCATTTTATGGTCTGAGTCTGTGTCTGTCACGTTTAGTGCATAATCTGCACAGACAGCTGTTTAAATCACACAGATATCTGGCTGTATATGTGTTTTTAACTTAATGACCCTATATTTATTGATTGATCAGCTCCCAGTCCGTCTGTAAGCAGCAGATTTCCTTCACTGTCTATGGTGGACAGGGGAAATAAAATCAGTGAATCACACTGTTAATTTCCTCCTGTGGTGCTGACATGAAAGCTATTTAGGTTCAGTAAATGTCTGCTGTCAGTCAGACTGGTGAAGGCAGTTTGACCGGCCTCTGTTCTCTCAGCTCTGCAGGAGCGACTGCTGACAGATGGCTGCTTCTGTGGACAGAAACACTGAATGCAGGTTTAAGTCAGTGTGCATTGAAATCTCCTATCTCCATGGTGACAATAGTAATACTGCCAATCACATTGCAAGGCGAAATATGACGTCCGACGTCCGCGATGTAGCAGATTCTCCTGGTGCGTGATATTAAAGAAAAGTGTCACGTGACACTTTTTTCTGTCAAAAATACATGAATTCTGTTGGGTCACACTCATCAAAAATGTCGAGCGCCCAAGTGGAAATTAGGTTTAACAGGCCTGCCTAGATACGGTTGCTAAGCTAGGATTGGACAAGCGCTATTTGGTGGAGGGATCCCCTTACTGGCAGTTCAGATACCAGTTCTGCAGATGTAAACATGGTCATGGTATTGCCTGTTCATTAGGAAACACTGTGTATGAAAAGGCATTATTAATCTCTTGGGTTCTCATGTCTAGAACGGTGCAGAAGGTGCTCCCAAACAGGACTACAGCTCTATGCCCTTGCTAGCTGCTCCTCCACAGGTGGGGCAGAAGATTGCCTTCAAGGTAAGTCTAGTCTTAATAGCTACAGTGTATCTGCTCTGGTATTGACAGTGCATACCTACATGCTAATCTGTTCAGCTTAGCTTTAGTTTGGAACAAAATGATTAACAAAAACAGAGATGATGTATAGTGTAGGATGGAGGATCAAAAATTTTTTTCAAGCAGAAATGTGCAACTGCTTTTACTTTTTCCAATGTGAGAATTTTCTTCTTTTTTTGATTGTAGTTTGATTATCTCTGATTTTTTAAAATTGTCTGTTGGACTAATGAAGACCTTTGAAGACAATTAGGGAAACTGTGATGGGCAGTTTTCACAATTGTCTAATATTTTTTAGACTAAACAAGTTGTGGAAAAATCCATTAACTTCTATGGAACCACTACAATGTTACAGTCACATCTTTTGAATAAATTGTGAAGTTATTGACCAAGCTAACCAAGCTAGCTATTATATTCAGTCCTTAGACAAAATGCTAGTGGAGAGAGGCTCTGAGAGCTGTCATAACAGACCAGCACTAGCATGTCCCAGGCTGGCAAGCATGTTAGTAGATAGCCTTCCAGCCATGGTAGTTCACCAACTAGTCCCTATGTCAGCAAGCTACTTACATTAACAGATCTGCTACCAATAAAAGAAAAGTAGTGGTGTTAAATCAGTGAAAGTAAGAAACTTAACTTAAAAAACAAATCAAGTCAGCAACAACAAAAACAGGAAATGCCTCATTGAGATTAAAAATCTCCTTCGCAAGAGTGTTCTGGCCTTAGCAGGCAACAGCACGTGACAAAGATTCAAACATACAACATGTAACAGTTACAGACAATAAAATTATAGATCACAGCATGAATATATGAAACACATGGATCACATTGAGGCAAATAGTCAAAGCATCTTTAAGCTTTAATCTAGTCTTGAAAACACTTAGATAGACTAGAGGGGTGTACCACGAAGCAAGATTAGTGTCTTAGTGAGGTATGTTGAGTCTAAAGCCAGAGTATTCTGTCCTATGAAAGTGACATTCTTTGAACCTGGCCAGATCACCATGGCAACTTATATTGCAGACCTAACATGGTCGGGACCAGTTTTAGTTCTGAGTCTAAGCTTGAAATTGACTATAAAGGGCCTTTCATCGCTCTTTAAAGTTGCACCACACTATAATTAGTATTTAATCTATGATCGATACAGATTGTCAGTTGAGGGAATACATTATAAATGCACTTTATCCAACTTGTCGAGCTGTTACCATTAAAAACAGAATGACAGTCGTTCTATTTCTGTGGCCGTAACATTACATACTTGCCCCTGAATGAAGCCATGCAGTTACAGTAGCACTTACTGTATGTATCATGTTGTATTGTTTTACACAGGAGCGCCACCAGTGATGGGGAAAATCTGAGTGAGAATCTGGTTTTATTTTATTTGCAGGGGTGATGTTGCCATCACTGAAGTACTGATTATGTTTGTGTTCTCTGGTCCATTTACCCATGCTGGCTCTAAAAGAAGCCTTCTATAGAATCACAAGTAGCATACTGTTCACTATTAGTCAGGATTTATATGCATATGATATAATTCCTTTAGACCGCCAGAATGTTACCACCTTGGATTAGGTATTATGTTCAGTCTTGACTTGTTGAAGTCCATTTTACACTGCTGGTATATCAAAGCTGATAGAGCACTGATTAGTAAACTGATTAGTCTGTTGGTATTTATCATAGATAATAGCCTATTCAATCAGTAAAATTCATTTCCCCTTGATTTGCCCCAAAACATAATTGATTAGCATGTCTTCTTCATTATGGGACAGTAACTGCAGTTCTTCAGTGTGACGTTTAAGTTTGCTGCATCAAGTTTTAAATTTCAGAGCTGTAAATTGTGCAGCTTTCAGGTTAGACATAAATGAAGTGACGAGATGAATATATTCACCTATGAGTTCACACTATTGTTAATATGAATGCAATTATTGATTGTAACAACAGTTTGGCTTTTTATTGTAATAATTTTTAATATTCAAAGACAGAAGAAAGGCAACACGAAATAGATCATTTCTAAGTGTCAAATGATGAGTTGAATGTGTCGTTTGACATGAGTGTGCACATAGTCTGAAACAGAAAGCCCTCTTTGTGGTACCCATTGTCGCTGACTGAGGCTTTAGGTTTGTTGAGCCAGCTCAGGCAGAGAGAACCTGGCTCTGTTGAACTTACTTCGTGGTAAAGCCCTCAGCACCCCCTAAACCCAAATCATTCTGCAGCAGATTCCAAGCCCTTTTTTCCCCCCACTACAAGACACGCACTGGGACAGACAGTAGGAGTAAGTCTACGTCACAGAGCAGAGACAGTAGCTTCCAGCAAAATAGATATGAAGGAAGCAAGTTAAGAGTTGCCTCATAAGAAAGGATTTGCCACGAATGAAGTCAATGGATGGTGCAAAGGTGAGAATTTTGAGTGTAGCTGTAAGCTTCATCTCCTAACTCTGTTCCTTTTTATCTGTGCTCAAAGTTGCTGGAGCTGACTGAGAACTACACACCAGAGGTATCTGGATATAAGGTGAGAGTAATCATGTCTGACCTTGGAGATACTGTGATAACAAAGTCTTGTTCATTCAACTGGAGTCACCAAACTGAGCGACCACGTTACTGTACATTTTAGGAGGGGAAGATTGTGAGCTTTGACCCAACCACCAAACAGATTGAGCTGGAACTACTTAACATCTCTCAAGGTAGGGATCATTACACCACAGGCACATACAATATTATTCACATTTTAAAATGTCTAGTTCAAAGTTAATATGTCAGGATACAAAAGATCAGTTTTTCTTCTAAAACTCAGCTGGAAAATTTATTTTTATAGTCCGAAAGCTCAGCATCAAGCAAAATAATATAGTGGTAGAATCATTTGTATTTTTACATATCACAGCAAGCCTACCATGGATGTACAGTGTTGTGGTTAATATAGGATACGGGGCGGAAAGGTCACTGCTCATTTAGTTTTAGAGGACAGTCTGGACTTTTTTATGTTATTAACTTAGCAGGAGCAGAGCAGATTGACGGGTGTGTTGGACACATGAACTTGCTGCTTCTCTCTCAGATCCCGTAGAGCCTGGCAAGTTCGACCTGGTCTATCAAAACCTAGATGGCTCAGAGAGTGTGGAGTATGCAGTGTCCAGAGGCTCTCGGGTAAGCCTAAGCTTAATCTCTTAAACAGTACTACCTAAACAAATAGTTCAACCTTATGGGAAATATACATTTTTGCTTTTGTTCCACAGTGAGATGAAAGAATCAATATCAGCCTCATGCCAGTGTATTAATTACAGAATGGGAATCAGGACATGGTTAGCCTAGCTTAGCATAAATACTGTGAGCAGGGGAAAACAGCTACCTTGGGTCTGTCCAAAATTAAAAATATCCTGGACTTAATGCACAGACACAGATTGTTATCAATCTTCTCACCTTACTGTTAAACAGGAAGAAGATAAGTGTATTTGAAGACTATTCTTCAAAAATGGGTGCAGCTGACCCTGAGGTGTTTGAGTGAGGTTCCGTAGAAGTCTAAGTTAATAAGGAAAGGTCTAATTTCTGTACATTTTGAGTTACTAGATATGACCACATTAGATTACCACAAGGAAGATAAAAAGAATGTAAAAAAGACTTGTGTGTGGTCAGACACGAGTACAGATGTACCCCAGGTGGTCCTCAAGCACCTGCCCTTTTAAACTCTGACTAGATAAGTGGCCCTTGTTTGCAAGACGTTTCTATTTCTTTTTCTACCTTTTTTTTTTTTTTTTTAATTTGGCCTATATAATAAATTCTCCATTGAAACTGTGTTATAATGTCTGACAGCTGCATTTGACTTGTCACAGTCACTACAGTTAACACACTTATATAGAGCACCCTGCAGAGCAGCATCATGTCTCACTCTGACTTGCCTGCATGGCCAGCCAGGTAACGATAATGTTTGCCCTAAACCTTGGTATTATTTGTAACTGTTATGAGATTAAACTACTATTAAAACATCTCATATAGCTAGACTAACTTAGGCAATAGCCCACCATTAAGCTTAACTACAAGTAAGCTATTCTGGCTTAAAATCACACCATCTTTCTCCAACTCTCTGGCCGATTCCAGCTCACCAACTGCCTGCTGTGCATGAAGACAGACGCCGAATTACTTTCCCCTCTTCAGCATGTCTTTAAAAACAAAACTCAACTCAGAATAATGTTAGATCTCCCATGCCGTGGCTCTGGTAATTCATTTAAATAAACTGGAAATGCGGTTTGGTGATGCATATGCCTTGTGCCAAGAGCACAGAGAAGGAGAGGAGGAGCATGAAGCTGCTGCAGCAGCTGCAGATGTCTGTTCTCTGGGATTCTTGATGAATATTTAAAGCTTATTTAGCAGATAATTTTAAGTATTTTACGTGACTATTTAATCTCGTATACACATACTTCATTGTTGGGCTGTTGATTGAATTTTAAATCATGTGAATTTAATTTTATTTCTGAACCAACAGACAGTAAAGCATTTAGCTGGATCATGGGTTAAATTGAAGGGTTCTGATGGTAAAGTAACAACAAGAAAAAATATAGCCACAAGCAGTAATTCCGGGGTTCGAGCCAGCATGGACATTCAAAACTTGAAAGCTGGGTAGAATCAAGACCTTTGACAGTTCAGGACACCTGCATTAAAGATTACCAATAGGTTTTATGACACTCAGACAGATACTTATTCATTCATGTCCAAATCTTTAGGAGGCCCACTCTTGTTTGGAAACACTGTTGCTTCCTACTGGTCAACTGCAGAAACATTTTGAAAACGTTTGATAAAACCCTCATTGATTTATGGCCGAATTTTGTGAAAGGCCTTTGCACTTATTTGGAACTTGTGGCGCCCCCTATTGACCGATTTTACAATAATACACGTGTTTCATAATTATTATTTGACAGAGCCTGCAAGTTTTGTAATGATTGGACAATCAATTTCTGATTTTTAGTCTGATATATGTTACTACATGCCCATTTTTTTTATTTGTGGTGCCCCCTAGTGGTCAATTTGAATGAAATTTTAAGGATATGTGCCTGGAACCTCTTAAGACGTTGCTTGCAAGGTTTGTGATGATTGGTCCAAATGTTGTGAGTCATTTGCTGAGCCACGTCCCCTGGAAAGTTCATTGGTAAATATCTTCAAAAAGCAATCAGATATCAATAACAGTTAAAGCATTGGTGATAAAATTCTGAAAAAAATCTCACGTCATTCTGCTGATTTCAGGTATACTGACAAATATTGTGGTACCATTTGGTTAAAAATGAGATGAAATAGAAAATGTTGTGCATACAGCACAAATTACAACAAGATAATGAACATCACTGTGAGCTAACCGTTGAACCAATCTGAACACCATTTGAAATATGTGTCATCTAGTATCCAAAGAATGTTTGTGGCAAAAGTGGTTGCATTTAGATGAAGACTTTTGGAGATATAGATATTAATTAATTTAGCATATTCTTAAAAAGATAGAGTAACGACTTCTGAATAGACCAGGGGCGATTTTAGAATCAGAGGTTTAGGGGTGCTGAGCACCCAGAGAGCTGCCCGGCCAGGCAAGATAAATTTTACTGTTTTGTACATTTTAACTCAATTTCATTCCCACATTTGTGAAAGAAAAGCACAACACTTTTTGGGAAAGTCTGTGACTAAACCATCAAATGCAAATCAAATCTGATAAAGGTTATTTAAATGCTGAGCCACAGCAAAAGAGGAATGGATTGGAATCATGAAAGAAACATATCGTAACCCTAATTTCTGGGGGAAGACAACTCATTTTGATACAGCAGCTCCTCAACATACACATAAACAGTATGTATGTTTCTGGAGTAAACCAGCCCCCTACAGTGAGTAACAAAAATACCAAAAATACCAAAAATGGACCTTGGACTTATTTTTTGGACTTTTATTTGAAATGCAATGCACAACATGTAATATTAACACATTAACAGTAATTGACTTTTTCAATGTTTGTCTCTGCCTTTTTCCTTCTTGTCTGTATTATATAATACAAATACATAAATAAAAATACACTTCAAAAAAAGAAAAGTGCTTGAAATCTACAAAATAATAATAATAAAATAATAAAAGAGAGGCAACCCTGCCTATGGTACAATGTATGCGTGCGCACGCACACACACACACACACACACACACACACAATAGGAGTTATAATGTTAATGGGCATCCAGTCAGTTAGGTAGTCAGTAGCACCTTGGCTTTAATATTAACTTAATATTAACACATGCGCATGACACAACAGCTAGCTTCTCTCATTCCAATTCAAACAGAGGACAGTGGTACTGACCACCTGTAACATTTCCTAGCTTCCTGGGGGGAAGCTGTATTTTTGTTGTTAAAACATTACATTTCATTTAGGGGTGCTGGGATTCAATGTAGGGGTGCTTCAGCACCCCCAAAAATGGGCTAGTCTATGGAATAGACTATAGGTTGCAGCGCAACAAAGATTTGTCACCATTCATTGGATGTGTTGAAAAAACTTTCAGCTGTGTAGAACACTTTAGTGATTTATTATGATTTTTTTGGAAGTATAGACTGTGAAATGTCTTGAAATTTAGTTTTAATGTAATAAGCCATGCCCCCTTTATGCAATCATTTTCAAATTTTGTGCATCGACTGAGACATGACCCAAGATGTTGCAAAACAAGTTTTGTACAAATATCTTTGGCTGATTATGAGATATCAACTTTTTGCATGTGTAGCACCCCCTATGGGTTGATTTGAATCAAACTTTTACAATATTATTCAGATCCTTATGTCAACATATTTTACAAGTTTTGTGACAATTGGCTCAGTGGTTAAGGAGTAAAGTGTTTAGTTTCATACGTTTCATACACATCGGTTAAACTAGCTTCAGGGGCTGTTTCCTCAAAGTTTTGTAGGGGCGCTCCTTAGGCATTTTTTGGCACCCAAGAATGAGACCCTTAAAATATCAAATTTTCTATCAGTTGTGATATATCCGCAAAATTTCATGAGTTTTGGGATATGGTAAGCCTCCCAAAAAGGCAATTCATTGGAGAAAATAATAATAAAAATAACAATAATAACAATAATAATGATAATTAAAGCTGCAAGCAGTGATGAACAGGCCCTCGCACCTTCACGCAACTCGGGGGGGCTGGCAGGATGCCTTCTGACGTGTAAATTCATTTTTGTCAAAGTTAGACATCGAATGCAGGAGTGACTTGGCATATCCTTGATACAGTGCTGGAATGACATATTTCACATTTTGTATCACTTCCTCTTTCCACTAGAGGGAGTTGGAGAGCGCACTAATTATACATCATGTTTTTATATGTCAAATATACACCACAGCATGTAACCTTGACATAAATCGAAAGATAAGTGTTTGATGAGACCTATTTCCTGTCACCACTAGGTGGCACTATGAGTACCAGGAAATATGGTCATATGAATGTTTTCAGGGCAGGACTTATATGAATCATGTGTAGTTTGGTGGATATTGGACCATTTACGCCAAAGTTTTCCATGGCGAGACCTCACAATTCAACACTCCGCAGCAGGCACGCCATTCAACATTGGGCAGATCCTTTAATAACTTTTGGTCGCAACGTAGTCAGGCTCACATAAACCAAGTTTGGAGAAAATCTGATTAAATCTGTAGGACAAGTTCGTTAATTTACAAGCCCTGGAAATGGGCAAAAATGCACAAAAGTGGCACAAGTAAATTCAAAATGGTGGACTTCCTGTTGGGTTTAGGCAATGGGTCCAAGAGGCTTTTTTGTACGTTATGGAATGTTACAGGTGCCTACTAGGGCTGTCAAAATTGCTCAAAAATGACATTCGAATATTCCTTCTAAAAATAACTCATAGGTTCGAACCATTCAATTTTTTTTTTCGCATTATGTCCACAAGAGGGCAAACTAATACAAGGAAACATACTTGTATATGTATTAATACAAGGAAACATAACTACTTGTAGGTATTTTTATTTCAACATAAACGTCTTTGAAAACATACCTACACATTAAAACACATAAAACAATTATCTATAACATTACGTTAGAAATGACCGCGGACCTCTCGCTCGCACCCCCTCTCTGACCCGTCAGGCCACACTGCTCACGGAAGCGCTGCGAAGAGCATCGAAGCGC